TGATTCACAAATGTTTGTGTTTGATGATGAGGCCACATGGCAAATATCGAGGACTCTGTGCTGGCACCATTGGCTTACCCCTTGGGGATTCTGTAGGTAACACAGGTTCCCAGGAGTAAAACTCCTCCACATTTGAAAAATAAAACCTTCATTTGTCCACAGGTATTCTACTGTATTGAGGTTCTCACTGTCCATTTTCAAAGGTAAGAACACTTACTTAACAAGAACAAGATTAGGAACTTTCAAGTCACTGAGCATCAGGGAAACTTCTGCCTTTGTCAAGATGGACTAGCACTTTCAGTTACTTGTACGTTTTACTTCTAGCCAACCAATGGTGCCATACACTTGTCCGCTCAAACTCTGAACTCTAAGGCTTACAGAAGAACATTTTCTGAGCAAAATTCTTGCAACGGACATGCCTACTTCAAAACATTTCCAAGACAATCATCCAAGAAGAATTTACCATTCTCTCAATGTGCTAGGTGGAGTATACTAACATAATGTTTTTGGAATTGCTGTTCTCAAGGAATTTACCATGTGGTTGCACAGATAAGAACAACAGATATGAAACATTCAGCATAGAGAAGAGAACTGCATACACTAATTTTCTCATTGGACTCACTATATTCTTCCAGTTTAAAGCACAGAAATTTAGGAAATGCCTGGGTGTTTTTGCCTGTTGTAAGATTACTAGGAAAGTTTAAAGTTGCAGTTACAAAAGTCAGCAGGACAGAAAATAGTAGAGACGCAAAGATTCTTTGAAATAAAAAGCTGAATATTTGATACTGCTAAAACTTTCAAGTAAAGGAAAAGTGTAAATTGTACACTAACAAATGAAAATTTTAAAAGGGCTGCGCTGTAGCATAGTAGGCTAAGCCTCCCCCTGTGATCCTAGCATCCCATATAGGTACCAGTATGTGTCCAGCTGCTCATCTTCCAATCCAGCTCTCTGCTTTAGCCTGGTAAAGCAACAGAAGATGGCTCAAGTGGTTGGGCCCCTGCACCTTTTTGAGGGACCTGGAAGAAGCTCTGGTTCCTGGCTCCTGGCTTCAGATCAACCCAGATCTGGCTATTGCAGCCATTTGGCAAGCAAATCAGTGGATGGAAGACCTTTTTCTCTGTCCCTCTCTCTGTCTGTAAATCTACCTCTTAAATAAATAAATCTAACCAAAAAAAGAAAATGAATTATCAATATTAATGACTATTAAATCTCACTAGAGGCACCTCTCATTGTTATTTTGTTAACAAAATCTGTGATCTTCTGAACAGATGAGATGTCTCACTTCCATTCAGTTCATCCCCACACCTTTCTCTCCTAAACCCATAGCACGTCTACCTATTCACATTTCCAATTCGTGTTGGAAACCAATTTATTTGTTCTCAAATTTCCTGATGAAAAAAATTCACTTTCCCAAATTCCCATTTCTCCTGTTGCCTATTTCTATGGATGTAAATAATACATAAATATGACATTCCTTATATTTCCATTCCTCTACCTAATTTTTCTCTTTTCTATTCCATCTTAAATATTATCTAGATTAATAAAATAACTTCTTATTTTGACTGCTAAAGTTGACCCATCTAGTCAGAATAGTGACTAACATTAATTATAAAAAAGCTACTTATTAAAAACTTTCCTGTACCAGAAGAATCTACAAAACTCAACAAAGTAGATAACATTATCCCCAAATTACAAAGCATAAAACTGAGTACATAGCAAAGTATAATAATGTTCTTTAGAAACTTGTTTTTTCTTTCTTTATTATTATTATTATTATTATTTTGCTATTCCACATGTCCACCTTAATTTTGCTTCTCATTATCACAGGCAAGTGTCATACCTTAAATTTGAAGCTCCCTCTAAGACCAGATTTCTGAGCCTAGTATAGAAGGAGATGGCTCACCAGCTTTTGTCCTCTCCAATCATTATTCCCAAGTTACACTCTAGTTCCTATCAAAATGCTTGTGGTTGGGCTGGTGCTGTGGTACAGTGGGTTAAGCTACCGTCTACAGCACCGGCAACCTATATGGGCACCAGTTCAAGTCCCTGGCTGCTCTGCTTCTGATCCAGCTCCCTGCTAATGCACATGGGAAACCAGCAGAGGATAGCCCAAGTGCTGGGACCCCTGAACCCATGTGTGAGACCTGGAAGAAGCTCCTAGCCCCTGCTTAGGATTGACCCCAGCTCTGGACATTGCAGCCATTCGGGGAGTGAACCAGGAGAAGAATATCTCTCTGTTTTTCCTCTCTCTCTGTAACTCTTTCAGAGAAATAAATATTTTAAAAACAACAACAACAAAAAACCTTGTGGTGGCCTATGTCAACCAAATAGTTTCATATCTTGTGAATCTGTTCAAAGTTTCCTCTGTCTAGAATGTTTCTACCTTTTATTCATTCATGATGATTGTTTTTACAGACAGTCCCCCTGAACTTGCCAAGCAGGCTGATAGCCTTCAGCTGGGTCCAGAGAGTACAGTTAACCCAACCTTTGTTGCATCATAATGAACTGGTCACAAAGATCATCTGCCATTATATAACTGACTATAATTTCCCAAACAACTACTTTTGTCATGATCAACATGCACACTGATGGCTTTTCACAATCCTTTAGCTTTATGGTTCCCTTACGGTTTACCTTAACTACACAAACCCCCATCTTATCATTCCCTACCAAGAATAAATATAAAAAGTATTTCTCCAATGTCAGGCTCTTAAACAGCATTATCTACCTCAAAGGGAACAGGAAATAAGCTAATAGTACAGATTTTATGCTAGGCACCTTATAAGTATGACTCAACCTTCTCAACAACCCATTTACTCATCATGCTCCGAGTTTACATCAAATGAACCTTCTCCTCACTTCACTGGCAACTCTAATGTTTGTTCTTAAATGAAAAATTCCTCCAAGGCCATAGGTTTCATTCTTGTCAGCCTTGGAATTCCATTGTGAATCATTCCATCAGAGGTCCTTAGCCTTGTTTCTTCATGTAGAGATTAGCCCTTACAACAGGCAGACCCAGAAGGAGTTCCCATTTCCTCTTTCAAACTTCACCTATAAACACGCATCTTTCATTGTCTACTTAAGCATCAATTAAACTCTGTATTGATATGTTTATCCTACTTTTTCATGAATCCTAGAACTTTATGGGTTATAGTCTATCCATATTTTTTTTTATTTCCACCTATTGGTGCATTATATAAAATACAGAAGATTTTTTACCTTCTTGTACTTAAAAAAATTAGGCCCAAAAGACCTATTTTATTATTTCCATGTAAGCAAAATGTCCTGAATATCCAAACTTATAGAGATGGAAAGGAGATTAGTGGTTACTTAGGACTATGAAGGAAGCGGGTTAGGGACAAGCGAATGGGCATTGATAGCCAATGGGTATGGGGTTCTTACAAAGGGGCCAAAAATCAAGTGATGGCTGTATAAACCTTTGAATATGCTAAAACTACTGAATTTTTAAGGTTAGCCATACAATCAGAAAAAAAAAAAGAATATATTCTTCCCCTCTCTTCCTTCTTTCACTATTTTCTAACAGTTCTATTTAGATACAAATCACATACTACACAATCTTTCATTATTAACACAAGGCTCCCTACTATGAACCATTCAGAAGATGGACTAAGTCTTATTTAACTTGGTATTCAAGACTTAGCTAAGTATTCAGAAATTAGTAACTGTTCATTCCATGAATGAAGAATCGACAGCTTTGAATTTACTACTAGTAGTATACCTAACCTTTATTTTGGGTTAAATACATATTTTGTTAGTTTCTAGGAGGATCAAACCACCATGTATAAAATCATTTCTACAGAAAACTTAGATAAAGCAAGAACCAAAATAGTCTACCAGAAATCTTCCAATACCTTTCTGCTCATAAGGAAATGAACTCCATGATTTATCTTGCAAGGCACTATGACTGCAAATCCCAAACTTAGAAACACATCAATTTTTTTTTTTTTTTTTTGGTAATAAATGCAGGGTTCCAACCTCAAGACTGTGAAATACTATCTCTGGATGCTTAAATTTTGAAAAATGAAGAATCCAATACTTTTATACAACAAATTTTCATTATGCTCTCAAAGTGTACAGAAACAGACTGGAGCTTTAAAAACTTTTGAATGAGTCAGTATACACTTGGGGTTCCATTTGGATAGTCTTGCAGTTCTCTTTTGTAAGAATTGTATTTTCCATCTAATTCACATTTTCCTTTATTTATATTGTATTTAAGCTTAATTTTTTCCCATTATAATTTTTCATAAATGGCAATGTAGAAAATTCATCAGTACCAAATACTATCTATCAAAGATACTAATTTTTAATCAGAATCACTACTCAGGTAAAACTTTTGACAAAACTTACAATAATATACTCTGGACCCTAACATTTACATCAGTAATTACTGAACCTACTATCATATCCAAATGGTTTCCATTTGGAAAATTTTATACTATTTTCAGATAATTAGCCTATTGGTCAATATTACCTTTGTTAGGAAATGATTCAATAGCATCATCTTCATTTTGCCTGCTTCAGAGAATTATAATCACAAGGTTATACTGCTGTATGTTCAACGTTGAGGAAAAGATCCTGTCACAGTTTTCTCTCTCTGATCCTATGCTGGCAGCTCAATACTGGCTCCATTAGCTTATGGTGTTATTAAAATTCTCTTACACAATTCTGAAGTATCTTTTTAAAAACTGCACGCTGTATAAATGTCCATTGAGGACAGCTGTCCCACTAATGAGTGAACAAAATTCCCACCATTTAATAGTTTTTAATACACCAACCTAGCCCATCATTTAAAAAAATAAATTGCATCTATTTTATGTATTTGCAAACTTCTGAAAGCAGTAGTCACGTGTTTTATTAATGGATCTACCTGTAGCAGCTTACCCACAGAGAAATCTTTAATTTATAAAGACTAAAATTAATAACAGGTAGTTTGGAAGTTTTATAAGCATAATCAGAAATTTTTCACATAATTGCTTACCTCTTCTAGTTGGCAAGCTTTGATGACACTCTTATATCTATACTCATCGTAGGAAACACCGAAGATGATGTTCTCTTTAATGGTGCCAGGCATGATCCAGGAAAACTGAGAGCAGAATGATATTCTTCCACTGTGCTTAATTTTACCCTCTGAAGGCTCCAACTCTCCCATAATCATCATCAGAAGCGAAGTCTGGAAACAAAGAACACCGTCATGAAGTTATTCGATCAAATCACTGCCAGGATTCACTTGGCTCCAATTACCATCCTCAACAGAGGTTCCTATTCTGATTTTTTAAGAATCTGTTAACTCATTTGATTCAAAACATTTAAGTACTTCCTGTTCCAGGTATTCTGCTATGCACCAAAGAAACAAAGGCGGGGGTGGGGGGAATGAAAGAGACAATTACAATCCAGTGTGACAAGTGCCAGGTAGAGGTTCACAGAGAAGGGGCACCTAATTCAGAGTGTTGGGATAGGGTTGGAGGAGGCCCAGGTCAGATGAGTGCCAATTAACATTTGTGTTGGGTGCTGAATCCCCATGTTTGAATTATATTAATTTATTTAATCCTCACAATAATCCTACAAGGTATCTTCAGTATTCAGAAAACTGGATTAGGTAAAGATTAGATTAGAAGAGATCTAATCTAAGGAAGATTAGATAAAAGGGTCTATTCAGGTAATATTGTCCCCACAAGACTCCTGAAGTGTAAAATCATTCAAGGTAGGATGGACCAAAAGGAAGTCTCACTGAGCAAAAACTTCATGTAACTGTGAAGTAAAAGTAATAGAATTAGCATTGCAGATCAGAATGTAAATGCTGTGTGACCTGACACTAACAAGTATAAAAACTAAGTAAACAAAACAATGAAATGGGGTGTGGGTGTGGAATGTACAAGAAACTTGCAGATTGCTTTATCAAAAAAAGCTGGAAGTCAAAGGATATCATTTAAAGCTAACAAACCAAGTAACAGAAGCATAAGCATATTTAACAATACAAAATTAAACATCAAGAAAGATAACGGTATTGACTAAAATTGACTAGAGGAAAAGGCAGTAGCATTGGAAAAGCATTGATTTTTATCTGTGAACAATGATTTTATTGGGAGCCAGGGCTATGCCACAGCAGGTTAAACCTCTGCCTGCACTGCTGGCTGCTGCACTGCCCATCCAACTCCCTGCTAATGTGCCTGGGAAAGCCCTGGAAAACCACCCGGAACTTCGGCCCCTGCCACCCTCTGTGGGAGACCCAGAAGGAGTTCCAGGCTCTGGGCTTTGGCCTACCAATGAGCCAGCCCTTATGGCCATTCAGAGAGTGAACCAAAGGATGGCAGATCTCTCTACCTCTCAGTCTCTCCCTCTGACTGTGTTATTCAAATAAAGAAATAATCTCTGAAAAGTGATTTTATCATATTAGTGAAGTAACAAAAGTTATTATTATAAATACATCCATACACAGGTATGTACGTAGTCACAAATCCAAGAACCAACAGACAGCATAGCATATTTATAAAAAACAGAGAAAACAAATAATATGACAGAACTCAATAAAAGGTATTTACAAAGTCAGCAAATAAAACTCAGTAAAAGGAGGTGATGGTTGTGGAACTATGTACATGCACTTAATACCATGAAACTACATGATTAAAGATGGTTGAAATGGTAAATTTAAAAAAAAAAAACCTTACAAATTCCAAAACATATTAGGTAATATATCCAAAAATATTTGTGGAGGATATTCTTATAATAAAAGTATATAAATTAGGATTTTTTGGTTGGCTAAATGCATCCATTAAAAGGAAAAAAGCAAAATTAAAAAAAAAAAAAACTTCAACTCTATGTTAAATAAAAGAAGCACAATTAAAACAAAATAAAATAGAATCTGGTAAGTTAAATAAAGTTAAATTTGGTAAGCACAAACAAAAAGAAAAATTGTAATTTACATATTAGACAAGGAAAAATTTAGGACTAATGTCATCCAATGAAAAAAAGGCACTCCGGGGCCAGCTTTGTGGTGAAGCAGGTTAAGTCACTGCCTGCAACACAAGCATCCCATATGGGCACTGATTTGTGTCCCAGCTGCTGCACTTCCAATCCAGTTCCCTGCTAATGTGCCTGAGAAAGCAGCAGAAGATGGCCCAAATGTTTATACCCATGCCACCTATGCGGCAGACCTGTGGAAGCTCCTGGCTCCCAGTTTCAGGCTGGCCCAGCTCCAGCTATTGCAGCCATTTAGGGAACAAACCACAGGATGGAAGATTCTCTCTATTTCTAACTCTGACTTTCAAATAAACAAGTAAAATTTTTACAAATAAATAAATCAATTAAATAAAAAGCAATATTCATGAAGAAAAAATTATGGAACCTCTAAGGAATAATAAGAAAAAACATGTAGTGGAAGACTTTAATTCAACTTTTTGTTAAGAAGACCCAAATATCACTGAGTAATAATGTAGATTTAATATCTATATTGAACTCTATTCTATTACTAGAAAGTATACAAATAGTCTCTTTTAAGTGGCCAGGAAACAAACACAAATATTGACTATTTATTAAATGGATGAAAATGATCATAAAACATGACAATGATCATCGTTTCTAAGAAGTGGAAATAATACGGCCAACAGTCTCAGAAAACAAAGAAAATTTATTTTCTTTCTGAAAAATGCCAAGCTTTCCCTTAGGAAGCTTTTGGGTCAAAGAGCAAAGAATAACTAAAGCTACAGATTTTCTAGAGAACAATATAATAGAAACACTACATATCAAATAGAATCCACAATATATCTAAAATGTTACCCAGAATAAAAGGAAAGACTCAAAAATACAAAAAATTGTTTTTTAAAAAGAACAACAGGATAACCAGAAGAAAAAATAGAACAAATTAATAAACATTAAATCATAAATCAGGGGCCAGAGTTGTGGTGGAATGGGTTAACCTCCTGCTTGCAACACCAGCACCCCATATGGGCTCCAGTTCAAGTCCTGGCTGCTCCATTTCCTATCCAGCTCCTGGCTAATGTACCTGCGAAGGCAGTAGAAGATGGCCCAAGTGCCTGGGCCCCTGCACCCATGTGGAAAACCCAGATGAAGCTCCTGGCTCCTGGCTTTGGCCTGGCCCATCCCCAGCTGTTGTAGCCACTTGAGTTGTGAATCAGAAGATGGAAGATCTCTTTCACTGCCTGTCTCCCTATCTTTAAATCTCTCTCTCTCTCTCTCTAATTTTGCCTTTCAAATAAATAAATCTTTTTAAAAAATTAAATAATAAATAAATGAATTATGATACAACATAACAACTGAAATGAATAAATGTAAAAGCTAGTCGTTATGAAGTTTATTTTTTACATATTTATCTAGTGAACAAGAAATCCATGATCAAGAAAGCTGCAGGAGCCAGCATTGTGGTGTAGCGGGTTAAAGCACTGGTCTGAAGTGCTGGCATCCCATATGGACACCAGTTCTAGTCACGGTTGCTCTTCTTCAGATCCAGCTCTCTGCTTTGGCCTGGGAAAGCAGTAGATGATGGCTCAAGTCCTTGGGGCCCCTGCACCCAGAAGGGAGACCCAAAAGAAACTCCTGGCTCCTCACTTCAGATATCTGGGGAGTGAACCAGCAGATGGAAGACCGCTCTCTCTGTCTCTATCTCTCTTTGTAACTCTGTCTTTCAAATAAATAAAATAAATCTTTAAAAAAAAACCTGCAGACATACACTATAAAAAAGATGGAATAAATTAACAGTAGAGAAGAGACTGCTTTGAAAAGCTGAATAAAATGGATAAATAAGAAAAACTGTGTGGCTAAACTAACCCTAGATGACAGAAAAAAATTACATAAACTGATTTAGATAGAATAAATAAATAAAATTCTCAAAACCTATATCTAAAAAGAACAAGAAACCCACACAGCTTCTTGGGGAGATTCTATCAGACAACTGAACCTGCTCATAGTTGGGATGCCTTTGGGTTCACACTTTGCTCCTTTGGAATCTCAGCTGGTCCTGTCTTCACACCACCAGACTCCTCTCCCTGGAGTCTAGACTTGTACATCCTCTACTTGGATGTCAAATATGCATTGCAAACTTAACATGCCAAAATCAAGCTCCACCCAAAGCCTGTTACTTCCATAATCTTTCTAGTAAATGGTACTTTCATCATTCCAGTTACTCCAGTTACTCCATCCAGAAAGTTCCAACTCAGCCTTCACTCCTGTATGACTTTTCTATTTTTTTTTAATTTTTTTTTTTTTTTTTGACAGGCAGAGTGGACAGTGAGAGAGAGAGACAGAGAGAAAGGTCTTCCTTTTGCTGTTGGTTCACCCTCCAATGGCCGCTGTGGCCAGTGCGCTGCGGCCGGCGCACCGCGCTGATCCGAAGGCAGGAGCCAGGTGCTTCTCCTGGTCTCCCATGGGGTGCAGGGCCCAAGCACCTGGGCCATCCTCCACTGCACTCCCTGACCACAGCAGAGAGCTGGCCTGGAAGACAGGCAACCGGGACAGAATCCGGTGCCCCGACCGGGACTAGAACCCGGTGTGCCGGCACCACAAGGCGGAGGATTAGCCTAGTGAGCTGTGGCACCGGCCCATGACTTTTCCTATATGCCATCTTTCACCAATCCTTTAATCCCATTGGCTCCTCCTTCAAAACATGTTCTGAATCTGACTACTTCATACCACTTCAGTCTCTGCAGGGATCAAGCCACCATCATCACTTGTCTGAATTAGCACAAAAGGCTCCTAATTCACCTCCTGGCTTCTGCCCTTGTCTTCCTACAGTCTATTTTGGAACATTGGCCAGTGTGGTCCTGTTACAATGCAAGCAAATGATACTATTTTCTGATTAATACTCTCCACTAGTCTCTAATCTCACGCAAAACAAAAGCCTTTTTACAAGGCTCTCTATGGTCTGTGCCCCATTAATTCTCTTACAATAGTTTACCCTCCAAGGCTCATTCTGCCTGCTCCACCAACCCTTTTGCTGTTCTTTGAATCAGGCAAGTGCATTACATTTGCTCCACCCTCTACCGGAAAGGCTCTTCCCTGATATCCTTATCTCTCACCTCCTACAAATCTTTACTCAAAGGGTACCTTTCAATGAGAGTTTTCCCATTCCACCTATTTACAAAATTTCACCCTTACCCCAAGTCTTCCTTCCCTGTTTTATCTTAACAGCATTTGTCATCCCATGACATCCTACATCCT